GTAGAGGTCTTTCTCTTATTTAGGTTCGTTCCTAAGTGGTTTTTCTTGATGCTGCCTGTAATGGCATTGTTTTCCTAATTTTTTTCCGCAATGAATTGATTACTGGTATACAGGAATGCTGTTGGTTTTTGCATGTCAATTTTGTATCCTGTTACATTGCTGAATTTGGTTATTCTTAGATCTTTTGGTGGAATATTTCGGTCCTTCTATGTGGAGCATCGTGTCCTCTGCAGATTTTGATAATTTGGTTTCCTTCTTTTTTATATTTATTCCTTTTATCTCTTTTTCTTGCCTGATCTAATATTTGAAGTACTGTAGTATATTAAAAAACCATCATGATAGTAGATATCCTTGTCTTGTTTCCGACTTTAGAGGAAATACTTTCAGCACCTTCCATTTATTATGATGCTGGCCACTTGTTTGTCATAAGTAATACCACACATTGAGGCAGGATGGAGAGCCATGCTCCACACTGTTGGCTGGGGTGAGCTTCACGATAAGAGGCTATGACTTTCCAGGTCATAAAAGATTACACATTACAGCTGAAGCATGGACCCCAAAGTATTAGATACTGCCGCAGTTGTGTTATACACATTACTCTTTCTGCATATCCTTCTCTCTGCATATTGCAGAGGTGATTTCAGGTCTACCTAGCCCAGCTCACAGCATTCACATACTTCCCACCATTCTCACAGTCAGTCATCCTCAAGCCACGCCCTTCTTCATGAATTAATAAGACCCAGGTTTGGCCCTGGGTTGAGGCCTTTGTTCCTGTTAGCCATCATCATGGCTGAACCTAGGACCCTTTGGCTCCCCATAACTACAAATATGCCTTAGTGTCTTTATTCTTGCCATGGGTTGCACTGGAAGTGGTAGATTGGAATTAACTCGCTAGAATTCCAATAACTTTTCATAGGATTACAAATATAAACTTTCTGGGCCTCAACAAAGACTGGGAAGGGCTCTCTATATTTGACATCCAACATGAGGCACTGCTCTCTATCCCGCCTCACCCCAGCTCACATATTTTATTTGGTTGCTCAAAGACTATATATCAGCACCTTGGCTGGATGGATTTGCATTGCTTAAAGCCAACTGAAGGGATAAGGAAAAGTCCTAGCCAGCTCTGCACATTCCAGTGCATGGAAATAGGGCCAGATTTAGCCAAAATGGAGACAATTGCTCCTCCTTCAGGAAGAAAGGTGGTCCTCCACAGTGTGGTTTTTGTCCTTGCTTCTGTGTGGTGTAATACATTTATTGATTTGTGTATGTTAAAAGCTTTCTTGCATCCCTGAGATGAAACCTACTTGGTCTTGATATGTGGTCCTTTTGATGATGTGTTGCATTACATTTGCCAATAAAGATTTTTATATTTATGTTCATTACAGAGATTGTCTTCTTTTTTTCTTTTCTTTCCTTTTTTTTAAAAGTTGTGTCTTTGTCTAGTTTTGTGATCAAACTGATGCTGGCTTCCAGGAATGAGTTTAGAGCTCCTTCACTGTCAGTATCGATAAAGAGTGTGGAAAGTATTGATATAACAACCTCCCTGAAGGTCTTATACACTCTGGCACTGAATCCATAGGTGTTGGGCTTTTCTTAGTTGGTAGGTTTTTAGAAAAAATTATTGGCTCAATTTTATTGCACATTAATGGATTGTTTAGAATTTTTATGTGTTCTTGGTTTGCATTTGGTAATTTGTATGTATCTAGAAACCTGTCCATTTCTTTAAGATTTTCTAGTTTGTTGGAGTACAGTTTTTCATAGTAGTACTATGGATCTTCTGGATTTTGGTGTTGTCCATTGTGATTTCACCTTTTTCATTCCTAATTGCAATAGTGTGGGTCCTTTCTCCTTCCTTTGATAAGTTGACTAAGGGTTTATGGATTTTTTTAATTCTTTTGAACAACCAGCTCTTTGATTCATTGATTCTTTGTATTGTTTTTTAGTCTCAATTTCATTAATACAATCTTTAATCATACTACTCTAATCTTTGATTTTCCCTTCTTAAACTAGGTTTGGGTAAGTCTTACTCTTAAAGCTTCTTAAAAGGTTCTAAATTTCTTTCTGTCCTAGTTTTTCGACTGTAGCACTACTGACATTGAAGGCTGGATTTTTTCAGTGACAGTAGTAAGAGTTCTGTCCTGTACATTGTAAGGTGGTTCATAGCATCCCTGGCTTCTGCCCATGAGGTTCCAGTGTCTCCCATGGCATGACAATAGAAAGATTATTTTAGATATTGGAAGGTGTCCCTGGGAGGGGCAAAATTGCTCTTGATTCCATCACTCCTTCCCTGTACTGTGGTTACTGTGGTCATTTCCTTTGGGTCTCACTATCTCCAAGTTGCCTGCCGCCCTCCGTGCTTCTTTCAGTCCATATTTTTACCAGAGAGCTTTCCAATCCCCAAATCTCTGAAGGCTCCCTGCATAAAAGTCTGGCTTTCTCATAACCTAAACTGAGAGTTATCTGCAGTGCCTCTGCTTCTGTCTGCTTCCTTCTCCTGCCCCTTTGCCTGCCTGTCCCGGCTTTTGTCTCTCAATTTGATGAGAACAGGAATCTAATGCTTTCTAGTTACTCTGGCACTGAATCCATAGGTGTTGGGCTTTTCTTAGTTGGTAGGTTTTTAGAAAAGTCCTAGCCAGCTCTGCACATTTCAGTGCATGGAAATAGGGCCAGATTTAGCCAAAATGGAGACAATTGCTCCTCCTTCAGGAAGAGCTTGGGTAAGAGCGGATAATTTAGTGCTGCGATGTGTGCAAATGAATACATTATTTCAAATAGGAGAAACAGGGTAATGTTCAAATGTCACAGAAGAGGTATTTGTGACAAGAAACACAAGAAATTGGCATCTGTATTAGTAAATTCCTAGTGTTTCCTTGGTTTTAATTTGAAACATAGATCCAGAGGCTTAATTTTCTCTGTAAAATGAATATATTAACCTCTTGGAGGTGATTTTACTCGATGCTGTATAGACTGGAATGTCAGTATATTCGTATTTTGCATTCTTACAGAGTTGGGGGAGCAGAAGTAGTAACTACATATAGCCCCACAAAGCTGAAAATATTTGCCATTTGGCCTATTACATAGTTACATTCACTGTTACATACATCTATGAAATTATACTTGTAGAAATCCGTCAGAAGGAAATAATAAGATATGCCAAAGACAGACACCCAGCTAGAACTTTGAATGTCCATTTCTAAGAACAATGGCATGGATAAATCATCATAAGACATCTACGTAGTAAAACAGTTCTCTAGAAATAACAAAACAGGGAAATGTTCCTCATGAAATGTAGGATACAAAGCAATGTATGTGATATCTCGTACACATCAAGGAAAGACTGCAAAGAATTACATTAAATTTTGAAGTAATAATGGATTAGATACGATTTTAATTTTATTTTTATGCTTTTTAATGTTCAACTTTCTATTATCAGATTACATTATGTTTATTATTGGGCTGGGGATGTAGCTCAGTGGCACAAGCACTTGCTTGGCAAGCCTAAGGTTCTGAGTTAGATTCCTGGTACAAAAAAAAAAAAAAGAAACCTATTACGTTTATTATCGAGGAAAAATGCATCTTTCTGCTGCTTTTGTTATGACTTCTAAAAGAATATCAAGAGACATGAGTGGTAGACAACTCTAAGAGAAGGTATCCCTGTTTTATTCATCTTTATATGTCTTGGCCGATGTTTGCTGGGTGCTGGTAAATGTTCTTTTAAAGAATGGGCAAGTAGGTAGGAAACAGAAAAACTGCTCAAAGAAATTCCTATTATTTATGGATGGCATATCATTTTCCCTTTATCAAATGAGCAAATATTCTGTTTAATAAAAATTTTTGTTTTTAAAGTTAGATTTTCTGGAGCTGTAGTTACCATTATAAAATTCTTAGCACCAAGGCGCCTCCCCAGATGTAAGCTTGAAGATCTTGTAGACCTGACAGGCTGAGCTCCTTAGCCTTTCTCCATTGTGCTGTGTGTCTTCTGCGTGACGAGGCTGGTGGTGTCCTCCTGCCACAGGAACCAGGGCTCCTGCCTTGCGAGTCATGTGACAGGGTTTTCCACTCCTGGCCCTGTTAGCCACCCACACTCAGCAAGCGCTTTTGCATTGGCTACCTGAGCTGAGAAGTGACTCTAGTTTGATGAATTTTGAAAATGGAATGATCATACAATCATGCCATTGTCAAGATGGGGATATTTCGTTGTCATCACCCCTGAAAGTCTTCTTATCCTGCTGCCATCAGTTTTCTCTTCTTATCTCTAGTATCTGGCAGACACTTTGGTTTGCCTTCTCCAGAATGTCCTGTATATAGAATCATACAGTGTATTACCTTTGTCTCTGGTTCCTTTCACTTAGCGTCATGCTTTTAAGATTCATCTATGTTGCATGAACCCCTGGGTTCCCATTCTTTGCTGAGTAATATTCCACTGTGTATAGTATATTTCCTTTATCCATGCTCTGGTTGATGGACATTTGCATTGTGCCAGATTACTATGATTGTGAATACAGTTGCAGTAAACACTTGGGTGCTAATCTTTATGTGGCCACATGTTTTCATTTCTCTTGGCGCTATAGTTAGTATTAGGATTGTCAGGTCACATACAGTGTTTCTAAGACTTGATGAGACACCACTTCCAGAGTAACTGTGCCATTACCTGCCACCACTCTCTGCACTGCTAAAGCAAGAATTCATTGCAGTTGTGAGTGAAGACTTAAAATAGGTAGAGCGTCCTTAATCTGTAAATATGAAATGCTCTAAAATAAAAGACTTTGAGAGCACCAATGTGATGCAACGTATATATGGAAAAGTCCATACCTGACCCCAACCCTTAGTCAGACAGTAGCTTCTAGGGTCAGAGTGTTAGTCCAGCTGGTTTTGGGTTTTT